GTTCTCAACATCAATGGAAAGATTCAAGCAACCAAGAAAAACAAATCAAACCTCAGTTTATTGCACAAGCCAGTGATTATTCCGACTCAATAGCCAAGTAGGTAACCCGATGAGATTAAAAGCAAATGATACTAGGTTCGAGTCCCAGGATGAACATCAACTTTAGGGTGTAGTTACATTCAGTTGATTAATTAGAAAAAGGGTAAAATCCACGACCTAGATTGAACTGCTAGCCACGATCCATCCCGCTTATATTTATTTAATATTAAAAAAACAATCGAATTAATTCATGGAATCTTTTAGATATAAACCATTCTTTAAGGAAACGATGTAGTGAATATTTTATATGTAAAACAATCTAGTATTACTGAGAAGTGAAAGCGCTCCGAGTTGTATGACCCACCTAGTCTAGCATTTACATAAATGGTTCTGATATTTTCTCGTTATTAAGTTTAATTTCGACCATATACTTAGCTCTATATGAAAAATAAAGGAACTTTTATTTACAATGTCTATATCACATGCTTTCATACGAAGTAATCGAAAGATTTCTTGAAAAATCATTCTCTGAGTGAATCTAATGTATGTTTTTACTTAATAACAATACTAATGAATTTTCAGTGATGATTATCAACACACTATAATAATTATGAGTAAGAGAAGAATAACGATGTTTACGTTTCATGCAGATGCTTATCATTGGTGTATAAAAATCCAAACTGTTTGTTTTATATAATGAATTATTGATCAGAAAGTATAAACTATGAACAATAAAGCTGTGAGCAATAAAAAGTATACACTGATTAGGAACAAACAATAATTAAGAATTCATTTCAATATGATTCAAACCTGTATTCAGATATAATAAGTATTTGATTCAATTCATAACCTTAGTTGTTTTAAGTAACCTTGTAAGCCTGATTTCACCCATAAATGTATAATTAGATGATTTGTCAATGGATCATTACGTAGTTCTTTTAAAAAAAAAAACAAAAGCCTTTAAATGTTCACTTAAATGAACATATATATTATGTTTTTATATTATATAAAGAAAAGATTTAAAACAATAATCCAATTCATAATATCTAGTTGTATTTCAATTATTTAAATAAACTATATGAGCATACATATTTTGTTGAATTAAACAACTACAACTGAGTGGCTTCTTTATTAAGAGCGAAAAAGAAATAGAAAAAAAAAGTAAAGAAACAACAGTGATAATGTAAAGTTTTGAAGTTAGTAACAAAATATTATCAAAAGTAATACTGGCGTATATTCGATTAACATAAAACACAGTCATTCAAATATAGATATATGGATTCACTCCATTTGTTTTCTATTCAGCTTACATTAATTATCTACCATTTGTATATTTCGTTAGATAAATAGTCATTTTATATTTTCATTACTGATAAACTCTTAATTAACTTTGTTTTATACTGTATCATTATTATTATTATTTTTTTGGTTTTTGAAAGAAAATATTTGACCATGGTTACAATCTGAAAATTAGTTTTGCTTTTACAGATTTATATACATATGGTCAATGATATAAGCCAACAACGAAACTATTTGAAATGGTGATATTATTGATTATTATTGTATCTATGGCTTGTTTTTTTTCTTTTTTCATTTAGAAAAGAAAAAATTCATAAATTTGAGTATAGATGAATAGTGTAATGAAAGATAGAAAAAAAGTGATCGAAAAACCAAAATGATATCGAAAGTCAATCAATATATGATTTTAAATGTTTGTAGATCGATACATAAGTTTTGAGAAATAAATACATAACACCATTGAAATATTTGTTAGATATTTGTTTTCTTTAAAAGAATATTACCATTATGTGATTTATGAATGAATATATGAAATAGTTAATAGTTTAATTTATTTTAATACCTGTATGGTGAGTTTCTATGATGATCTTCATTTCCATAACTATAACTACTTCGTCTATCTGAGTAAATGGAATTATTTCCCAAAGTTCCTTGACTTTTTGGTCTATACAAATATAAATAGACTGGACCATATCTGTTGGTTATTATACCTTTGTGTGGATCATAAGTGAGATAAGTTACATCATGTAAACTGTCAATAGTTCGACGTTTAGCACTGGCATTAAGTGATGGACTATAACTTTGTTTAACTGGTGAAACCATAACTGGTGATGGCAAATAAACAGGGCTAATATTATTATGTGTATAATAATTTTGATTATTCTCAGGTATTGAAATTGTTGCACGATTGTTTTCAACTTCAAAATTACTTACTGAACGTACACGACCCACATCATCAACGTAAACTTGTCGAATAGATGTTAAATCACGTAATACTTTATCTGTATCATTCATTGCTCGTCTAAGATATTCACAAACGGTTTGTGCTGTTTCAGGAATTTTACATTTATATATTTCATAATATCTCATAGAACTATACATAGAATCAATACATAGTACAAAAAAATGTGGAGTAGCTCTATTTATGTATAATTCTTTAATTTCTTTATATGTTACCCATGGACGAAATGGTATCTTACCAGATGCTTTATTTCGTTCAAAACTAATACGATCTTCTAATAAACTTCCAGTACAATGAGATTGTCGTTTACGACGATATTTTTGCAATAGATATAATGCTCTTGTTTCAGAGAAATGTTCTGCTGGACCAGCATTTACACGAAATATTGTACAAATATGTGTTTCATAAAATAAATGCTGTTTACTTCCAACATGACGTAAACAATCATCAATATAATCACGTTCTTGTTGATAAGAGACAACTTCTTTATTCCTCATATCCAAAGAAAAATGTCAAGTTCTTTCTGACTTTTTAATATTTGTAAATAAATGTACCACTATATATATAGTATAAACTTATGTATCCAGTTGGATAAATCTGTTAACAAAGTTTTTATAAGGACTATTTATGAGCATATATGAGCATATGAGTATATATATATACTTATGTACATCACTGATATGAATGCAAAAACTTTTTTTTTTCAGAAAACTTCAACATGAATGACTAAGTAACCAATTGATAATATGAAGTTAAAAAAATATTTTTCACACAACAACAATAATAATTTTTTGTTTTTTGTACTACTATTTGTGATAGAGAATAATAATAATAATAATAATAATAATAATAATAATAATAATAATAATAATAATAAGTTTACTTGTATTTGAAAACCTCTTTTTTCTACAATCATAAGAAAATCAATCATCATATTAAGGATGCGTTTCTATGCAGAAATGTATCATATATGAATGATTGCTTGAATTATTGATTTTCATAAAACAATAATTAAAAAAAAACAAACTTGGAAAGCAAAATACTGATTATAGATAATTGATTTAAATGATTATAAAAACAATGAAAAAAGAGACTTCATTTTCTTTCTTTAGCAATAGAATGTATGATGTGGATTTTATTAGAAATTAGTAAAATGAATTGAATCTATTAGGTGCTCAAAATTGATATTGACACAAGTGAATAGCTTTTGTAAGTCACTAGAGAAATGAAGAATCTCACATCTATATCTAAAGCAATAAGAGTATGGTTCGAATTCTAGTTGAGTTATAAAAATTGATTCATATAGATCCAGATGATTAGCTTTAAATAAGAAATTAACTGAAGCCTGGATAAGTGTGCTAGACAATATCATGATTTTATGGAATCTGCAAATGAGAGCAATGCCAAAAACTCCATGAAAAGAAACGGTATTGTTGTTAACATAGAAATTTAAACTTAGTTATGAATGAAAATTGATATTTTGACAAAAATTATATTTGCAATCTTTCATATTGATTCAATGAGTTTCAAATAACAAATGGGACTTATACGTTTTTTAAGAGTTTTTAATCAATTTACGAACTCTTTGTCTACATTCATTTTATTTTGAGTTTCAACAAATACTATGCCCATTTAATATTTATATTTATAAGCAATGATGGACAGTGGCTAGCAGTGGAATCCAGGGTGCACGTTTCGTCCTATTTGGGACTCGTCAGCTGGATGTATCTGCATTTCAGAGTTGACGTAGTTAAGTGAATAACGCAATGGCGTTTGAAGCGAGTGGTACTGGGTTCGAGTCCGATAGTGAACATCAACTCTGAGATTCAGGTACATCCAGTTGAAAAGTCCCAAATAGGACGAAACGTGCGTCATGGGTTCCACTGCTAGCCACTATCCACCATTGCTTACAAAAAGCTTGTGAATTATGGCAATATCGAGGCATACGTACAGTATGCACATATGCAGTCCTCAACCTCAATGGGAAGATACAAGCCAAATAATACCAAGTAACTATATATTCATTTTCTGAATCTTGATTGCTTGCAATCATTTATCATATAGTCATTTAGTCTTATTTGAAAATATCGGACAGAAAAGCATTACTAGCTCTGCACTGAAAATACATATGCTGTTTAAAATAGTATCTTTCGAAATAATTTGTACCATAAGTGGATAGAAGAATTAGTATTTTTAAGCAAGGTTAATTTTTATGTGATTGAGTTGTGTTGGGGACGATAGATCCCCAAACTCATATTTTAAAATTTATCTTATCGATCATCTTATTGATTAAATGTTAGATATTTTTATTGGGGTCAATTGGTGAACTAATCGATTAAATGTTTGAATAGCAGTCAATTGATGAACTATCGATTACATGCGCAAATAGGTCAATTAATGAACTCATTGATTAATGTTTAAAAATTTTCTATCGATTGTAAATAATTGTATAAATACGCTTGACTTGTATGCTTGATCTGATCTGCCTGCCTGACTTGTTATCTGCTGTTTGTCTGTAGAATACACTTTCTACACCTTACCCAGACTTCTTGATCGAGTTAGCAGAGTTGGGGACAACGGACCAGAATAGTGTATCGAGTCGCTGAATCATTGATCCTTCGTTCGTTCGAGTAAGACGCATCAGTAATCGCATTCAAGCAATAACGAAACATAACAAATTGGCGACGGTGGTTTTTGAAGTATGGACCCTGCCAAACTTGAACTGTTACTTGAGCAGCAGCTAAAATTGATGCAAATGTTAATGGAGACCAAGGTTACGCCTCCTTTACAGCCAAGCACGTCGAGCTCAATCACGGCACCATCGGTAGATGGCATCGCAAACAGCATAGCTGAACTTCATTACGATCCTGATTCTAATGTTACTTTTGAAATGTGGTTCAGGCGTTATGAAGATCTATTTAAATTTGATTTCGCCAATCAAGATGATGCTTGGAAAGTGCGGCTGCTACTTCGTAAACTGGGTGCAAATGAGCTGGACAAGTATTGCAATCTGATCTTGCCGTTGAACCCACGTGATCGATCATTTGCAGACACAGTTCAAACATTAATCCAACATTTTGGCGATAACTCGTCACTGTTTAATACTCGTTATCGTTGCTTGAAGCTGACTATGAACGAAGATGATGATTTTCTTACGCATGTGGGCGTCGTCAACCGTGAATGCGAACGCTTCCGGTTAAAGTCCTTGACTGAAGATCAGTTTAAAGCCCTGATCCTTATTTGCAGCCTACAGCACCAAAAGTTCAGTGACTTACGAACAAGGCTACTAAGTCGTCTGGATCAAGAACCGAAACTCACCCTGAGTGATATAGCTAATTAATATCAACGTCTCATTAATCTTCAACGAGACACTTCTATGGTCCAGAGTGGTGGTTCTAGCCCTTTCTCCTTGCTGGCAATGTGGTGCATGGCACTACGTTCGAAACTGCCCATTTAATCAACATCGATGCAAGAAGTGTAAGGTTATTGGCCATAAGGATGGGTTTTGTCTGACGAAGAAGACTCCAAGTCAATCAAGAAATACCAAAAAGACCTGTCCTAGATCCCGCACCAGTTCATTGAGCTTAGTATCTTCGTGTCAAAGCTCATCACCGTGTCAGAGAAAATTTATTACTGTTAACATTAATGGGCATTCATTTAGATTGCAAATAGACACTGCATCTGATGTAACAATTCTCTCACGAAAATATTGGATCAGAATGGGAAGACCACGCATGGTTCCAACAACACAAAAACCTCGAACTGCATGCGGTAATTACCTAAGTTTGTTGGGACAACTAGATTGTAAAGTGTCTTTTCACGATTCAACGTTTACCGGTGTATGTTACATCACACCAGCTGATCTTAATCTGCTTGGGTTAGACTGGTTTGACCAGCTACACTTAGCTGACGTTCCTTTAAGCACCGTATGCCATCTGGTGAAAAAACCTCATGAACCTGAAGCATATTCGAAAGAACTAATGACGGAGTTTTCAACCATTTTCCAACCTGGATTGGGTCGCTGCTCTGTCATGAAAGCAACACTTCGATTGAAAACTGGGGCTAAGCCTGTTTTTCGCCCAAAGCGACCTGTCCCTTATGCAACATTACAAACAGTAGATGAAGAATTGAACTGCCTTCAACAACAAGGAGTTATCACTCCCGTTTCCTACTCTGCATGGGCAGCACCTATCGTGGTTATTAAGAAGGCCAACGGTACGATACGTATATGTGCTGACTTTTCAACAGGTCTCAATGCAGCTCTGGAACAACATCATTATCCCTTGCCTGTTCCCGCAGACCTATTTACCATGCTGAATGGGGGAAGATTTTTCGCTAAGCTGGATCTAGCTGATGCTTATTTGCAAGTGGAAGTAGACGAAGCATCAAGAGAGCTGTTAACTATCAATACTCATCGTGGTTTATTCCAGTATAGCCGTCTACCTTTCGGAGTCAAAACTGCACCATCTATTTTCCAACAGCTAATGGATACCATCCTATCAGGTATCCCGGGAGTCGCGGCTTATTTGGACGACATTTTAATTGTAGCAACGACATTAGAACAACTACGAGAACGCACGACATTGGTACTGCAACGCATCAGTGACAACGGGTTCCGGTTACGCCCAGAGAAATGCCAGTTTCATTTGCAGTCGGTAAAGTACTTGGGGTTCATTTTCGATGCCGATGGCCGCAGGCCGGATCCTGAGAATATCCGAGCTATCAAACTGATGCCAACTCCTACTAATGTCTCATCACTACGTTCCTTCCTGGGACTTGTCAGCTATTACTCAGCGTTCGTTCCATCGATGCATGATATTCGCGCTCCCCTCAATAGCTTACTGCAGAAGAACAGCTCTTGGAACTGGACTAAACAATGTGACGCTGCCTTTTGTAAACTGAAGTCCATTATTAGTTCGGAATTGCTGTTGACACACTACGATCCAGCCTTGCCGATCATCGTAGCTGCAGACGCTTCAGCGCATGGCCTAGGCGCTGTTATCTCCCATCAGTTTCCGGATGCGTCGGAAAAAGCCATTATGCATGCAGCCCGTACACTAACCCCAGCAGAAAGGAAGTACAGTCAAATAGAAAAAGAGGCTCTGGCTCTTGTGTTTGCAGTACGCCGTTTCCACAAATTCTTGTACGGTCGAAGATTTACTCTTCTCACTGATCACAAGCCTCTTCTCACAATTTTCGGTTCGAAATCTGGTGTTCCAGCCCATTCTGCAAACCGTCTCCAACGATGGGCTTTGATACTTCTGGGTTATGATTTTGACATTCAGTATCGGCGCACTCAACAGTTTGGTCAGGCTGACGCCTTGTCGCGACTTATCAGCGAACACCATACGGCCGGCGAAGATACAGTTATCGCCTCCCTGATGACAGAGGACTACGCGCAGTGCTACCTGACAACTGCTATTCGTGCTTTGCCAGTCTCAGCACCTGAAATACAATCTGCATCCAAGAACGACTCCATCATAAAGAGAGCGATGAAATACGTCACAAATGGCTGGCCGCCGACTGGACTCGATGGTGACTTGAAACAGCTTTACCATCGTCGGGACTCATTATGCGTCGTAAACGAATGCTTGATGTTTGGAGATAGAGTAGTAGTACCAGAATCCCTAAGATCAAAGGTGCTAAAGCAATTCCACACTGGTCATCCTGGTATAAAACGAATGAAATCCATCGCCAGAAGCTATGCTTATTGGCCCCTCATGGACCAACATATCGTGGATTTAGTAAGCAAGTGCACACAATGTCAGCAAGCAGCTAAGTGTAACGCGAAAATACTACCAGTCCCATGGCCACAGCCTGAGTATCCCTGGTACAGGATACATGTCGATTTCGCAGGCCCAATTAACGGAATCACCTATCTAGTTGTTGTCGACGCCTTTTCGAAATGGCCTGAAATCAACCCTATCATACCGCCAACGACAACTAAAACAATACAGATCCTCACAGAAATTTTCTCTCGAAATGGTATACCAGATGCTATTGTGTCTGACAACGGGTCACAGTTCACCTCCAGCCAATTTCAGTCATTCTGTCAACGACTAGCCATAAAGCACTTACGCTCGCCACCATACCACCCGCAGTCGAATGGGCAAGCAGAAAGGTTTGTGGATACGTTTAAGAGAGCCTTGGCTAAAACAAAGGGGGAGGGGACGCCAGCAGACGCGTTGCAAAATTTCTTATACGTGTATCGAACAACACCAAATGAAACGTTGCCGGAGCGAAAGTCCCCAGCCGAGATCCTAATGGGAAGAAGACTGAAGACAATCCACAGCCTGATGCATCCAAGGAATGCACCGACACCAGTACGGACAAAGTTTGAAAAGCAATCCACGTACGAAGTGGGATGTCCGGTGTTTGCCCGTAATTACAGACCGACCCATAGTCCATGGACAGAAGCGCGAGTGGTCAAAAGAGTTGGCCGAGTCATGTACGAAGTTGAGGTAGGTAGTGACAGGTGGCAACGCCATCGGAATCAGTTACGCAAACGGTTAGCCCCAGACCGCCCATCAACAGAATCAAATATTCCTCTTGACATTCTGCTAGACACATTCAACTTACCGGCAACCCCACCACAAGAAAAACCTCAACAACAAACTGAAACACGTCCAAGACGGTGGCCTATCCGAGAACGGCGAGCAACAATCAGGATGCAGGTTGACCCCAGGAAAGCCCGCTATTAAAAAGGGGAGGAGTGTTGGGGACGATAGATCCCCAAACTCATATTTTAAAATTTATCTTATCGATCATCTTATTGATTAAATGTTAGATATTTTTATTGGGGTCAATTGGTGAACTAATCGATTAAATGTTTGAATAGCAGTCAATTGATGAACTATCGATTACATGCGCAAATAGGTCAATTAATGAACTCATTGATTAATGTTTAAAAATTTTCTATCGATTGTAAATAATTGTATAAATACGCTTGACTTGTATGCTTGATCTGATCTGCCTGTCTGACTTGTTATCTGCTGTTTGTCTGTAGAATACACTTTCTACACCTTACCCAGACTTCTTGATCGAGTTAGCAGAGTTGGGGACAACGGACCAGAATAGTGTATCGAGTCGCTGAATCATTGATCCTTCGTTCGTTCGAGTAAGACGCATCAGTAATCGCATTCAAGCAATAACGAAACATAACAGTTGCTAAATTCATGTTCAACCCTCCTACTTTTTTCAGGTTTGAAACCGTCAGTAACATAAGAAGGACTTTAGAGGAGTTAAGTGAATGGAAGAGTACAGAAGAAATTGTAAGCGATTTCGTTATATAAAGCATGCAAACATTATGTACTTGATGTTTAAATAATCAAATCATAATACGAAATGAAGTAATGACTTTAAAGAATGATTGCTCGGTGTAAGCAGAAATATTTCATTTTAAACACTGAGTGAATGCTGTCTTGATGCATATCACATTTTAAACGACTGATTGAAAACATAAGTTCTTTTTCCGTGATGAAATTATTCTATTCATATTTGTGATTTGTGGAGAGAAGAATAAAAACCTTCTATAGTTCTTTTCCAATATGCATCAGTAGATGTTTAATCTCTTTATAAATAAAACATCCTGGGATGTAGGTGTCATTTATTACATGAGTAGATTTCAAGAGTTGATTATCTAATTTTAAATCCTGTACTCAATATGGTTTTAGATCGAACCTACTTTTTGAATAAGTCCACTGTGTCTCCTAAGTGGTTCTAATCCAGTTAACAGATCAAAAGAGTAAATCTCTTTGTATTGTATGTATCATGATAAAGTGACCCTCTAAACTACTAAAAAATAATCTGGTTGAACTTATCAATTCCTTCATTTCTCGTTAAACCGAACATCTGTGATGCTGCACTATTAGACGTCCTGTAATATCTTTCCAAGAAACGAAAGTTATTCAGCAGATACAGACTTAGGGTTTATGCTCAATCTTCTAGATTTGTGCTCATCATTGGTTCTCAAAGTCATTCATAATGCGGATATCATTCTAAAACTTTTAACTGTAACTGAAATAAAGTTATCCATGGTCCTCAAGTCTTTATTTATAATGACTTGTAAATGAAGGCTAACTTGAAATGTAGTTCGTCAGAGCATCATCTAGGTTTTCTAGCTACCGTAGAGGTACATTTAGTTAAATTGATGACGATGTCTAGAAGTTTGTTGACGTAGGAGACTAACAGTTTTTGACTTATTATAGTCCTCACAGATAGCTCCCTAAGTGCCGGTTTCTAATAAATGACTATGGACGTAGTTTGTATTATATTTAGCCTATAAACAAGAACCTTTCCAATGTGCTTAATCAGGAGTCAGGTGAATCCCAAGTTTTCAAC